CACATTGGTGCTCGATGGAGAAGCAGTTGGTTTTCAGCGGACTAAGAAAAACAGCTGTGAAGAACATTCACGCTTATTCACTAACTTATCAACATCTATGCCAATAAACTCTTCGAAATCAGCCATGCATCCAATTTGGCGAGGAGCTTCCGCCCCTATTTTGCATCCATTAGGACTAGATGCTCATGATAAATCTTCAAATGCCGACGTGCCAAGGGAGCCAGCTGCAGCTCAGAGTGCAACTGCTCCGGCCGCAACTGTCAAACGGAAACGTTCAGCATCACAACCGCCTCATCAGATATGCCCAACACTTCACGATAATGCCCCTGATCATGGTAACAGTGATTCAAGCCAGCCTATTCCTATCAAAGATGAGGGCTTGTCATCTAGCCCTTTGGCGGGGCCATCATCTAGTTGCGGGGCTATTGGGACCCAGGACCTAGACGAGGTCGCTGTCTTGGTTGAAACACCAACTAAGAGAAAGAAGTATAAGGAAATTGACTCCGAGCGAGCGGCTTCACCAGCGATTGAAGCCAGGCGCAAAGGCCTGCCCCCAGCAACATCTCATTCGTTTTCGAGACGACCCACGGTACTGCAATCGGTCAATGGCAACACAAGCACCAATAGATATGACCAACGATTAGACACAGCAGCCGCGAAGGGATCAAAACCGAGACCCAAATACCCCATCTCGGCGATGACTGAGGATGGTGAAGAGAATGACGTGAACGTCGCTACACCAAACCGATTTAACACGTCGGCTTTTGAAGCTAGGTCGCCACGTCCAGACCCAGGAAAGGAAGTACAAAGACTGGAAGGACTTCTCGAAGGACCGGTACCTGTTAAACAACAGCTCCAACCAAGGAATATGAATGGAGAATTCACAAGGGGCCGCACAGTGCAAAGCTCTCCTTCTGTTGGACGAACTTTGTCACAAACATCTAATAATAGCAGGGGAGGACAGCCAAATGCTGAATCAGAAATCATGCAGGGGTATTCGAAACTTGATACTCAACATGGATTCGCTCAGGCCACCTCGTCTTCGGGAAGCGAAGCACAACGGATAAAGGAGAACGCCACGCGTATATCGTATAGAACCTTGCCGCTGCATTGTCTCGAACTCACCCATTTCAGTATTAATCCAAACTATAACCAAGGGGTAGATTATGCGTTTAGCAGTGTCATTCGCACCACGGACGAGCGCAAGTGTGCAAAGGGTTGTATGCGCCCCGGCTGCTGCGGAGGCAAGTTCCATGCCATGGCACGCCTGGGCGGTCTTCCGACGAACGCGACCTCTGATAAGGACAGAGAACAGGAAGAGCGGAAGATTCTGGAGGACTATTTAGGAGAGGAAACACATATACTCGATAAACTAAGCACGGAGGATCGAAAGAGTCTTCTGCAAGAGGCGAACGCCAGGCTCATTGCCAATCGATTTGGGAAGCATAGGCATCACCACCAGCGATCGGGATCGCCACCGGGATACTGGCGCACAGATATGCCTGATACACAGGAATTGCAACGTGATCACGAGGAGGCAAGGGAGATTGAAAGGGAGAAGGTGCGAGACCGATATCGAGAGGCAATGCGTCCCGGTGGCCTTTGGAAGTTTGCAGATGAGTGAAAACATTGCACTAGGCTTCAAGGGCTGCGCTTGGGTTTGCGGGTGAGCTTCCACAAAAGTTACCTAGGCAGTAGATACATGCCAAAGTTCCTCTATCGGGGCTTCCAATATAACCCAAGCATTATCGCTTGTTTGTCCAAGTCGCTTTCTGATATATTTACTGTATTATTGTAATAGTACCGCATTTCTTGGCAAGCTCCCGACACGTGCCTTAGCCGCTACCCTGGTGCCTACCTCGGCCTACCTCTCCCTACCCACCCGGAACTAGCTCACGCCGTAGATAAAGTCGTTCTTCCAGCCCAGCTGACACGCCTGGGTACGCTTGGGGGAACCTCCAGTCATAATTTTTCATAACACTTCTTGACATCAAAGACATCAAGCTCACCCTATATTATCCATGGTTTTGCCCTGAATATGGAATCCTCATGGCGCGCCCAAAACCCGATACCTGCCGCACTGTTGCAACCTTCCAAATGGCTCCCACTGTACGAGGAGTTCGTGACGAAGAATGCTAGCTCTGTGGGCCAAGTGGAGTCCGCGCTGAGGTCTCTCACATACATCATTCCAGGTTAGTGCATGAAGCTTGAGGTACAAGAATTTGGTCGAGGAAATGGAAAGCTGAAGACCATGTGTAGGACGATACCGAGATTCGGAGATAAGCTCAGAGTGCGGTACGTGATTCAAGCGTTCCTAATGGTTCCCTCTTAGACGAAGAAGTCGTTCATTTTATACTGACTTTTGCGAAAAAGTGCATTCAGGGGTACAGCTTCTGTCACTCTACCATGACTCTTTGGTTTCCCGAGTCATTTCTAGGTTACCTTCGAAAATCCCGCGGCCTACACCATCACCTCATGCGCGCTACACGAAGTATTGGACCTCCCACTCTTCACTATATCAGAGGATCGCCATCGCACTACAGATGATTCAGTATACGGAACTGCTGTGGGAGATGGCGGCTCGGCGTCGTGGCGAGAAGGTGCGCTGGCGTGTCATCGTCCTAATCGAAGCCGCTAAGGCCATCTGTCGCCTGTTGCTCCTTCGTCTCACCAACTCTAGACCATTAGTCAGTCCTCCACTTCCTGAACGGGAAGTAGATCCCAGATCGCTGGAAGACGAGGACAATAGCGACTGGAATGGCATGCAGACACCTGCTAGCGAAAGGTCGTCGGATTTGTGTTGGACTATGCCTCGCACAGGCCTGTCGCTTCCTTCTTTGCCTAATGTGGACGACCTTTCGAACTACTTGATATCTAAAGTTCTTACGGCCGACGATATCAAGCCACCGAAAACGCTGTTGCACCGAGTCACTGGCCAGGGCCAATTCGCTGAGATTCTATACATCCTCCGACCAGTAGTTTATGCGCTCATGCTGCAACGATACTGCAAAGACAGGCGGAGTTGGAAACCCTGGCTTATCGGGTTCGGCATGGAGTATGGCTGTCGACAACTAGCCAAAGCTGATCTTCGCGAAAGAGTTGCAGGCGGCCTTCGGGGATTGACCGGGCTGGAACGGGAGGAATTGAGGAAGAGAGGTTGGGCGATGGGTTGGTGGTTTATGCGTGGGGCCTTTTATGAAAACATTACCAAGTACGGCACTCTAACCTTTCCACACTACCGACAAGGAGATAAAGTATTGTACTGACTTTCACACAGATCCTGGTTGAAAGGCATGACCGGCAAGATGAGGGGCAAACCTCTGCTTGATTTGGTAGGCAGTGTCATTGAGGATTACGAGTATCTTTGGGACAACTACTACTTCGCGACCACAACACTGTGAAGTTCGCTGTGTTCTGCCAGCGTCAGATGTTTCTGCCATTTTTGCCAGCATTTTGCTTTACCTCGGGAGCCTCCCGTGGCTCACACAGCCATCTTCTCGCACTTGACTTAGATACCCGATGGCTTACCATCCCCAAGCTATCCCCTTTAATATAAAACCGCTATATTCTGTCTTTGCTTCAACTTGCCCATATAAGTGCAAAATGACACAACAATCTCATATGCTTCCTTGGGACTTAAGGGCAATCACATTGCAAAAGAAAGTGGGTATCATTTGGTCATTATTATCGTCACCTCTGCATCTGCGTATGATATAGAACAAAGTCATGTTTGGCTAAGAGAGGACCTCGGTGGACCTTGACCCGTACCATTCCAGCAGCTCGTGCTGAGCTTTAGTAGTGTTACTGGTTGAAGATAATAGGAAGTCCCTGAGCTGCGTATTATCTTCTTCTTCTCCAGGCCAGTCGACCTTTGGCCTTCCCTTCAATTCGAGCAACTCTTTTGCGGTGCCCCAACTGAATCGGCATTCGTTGCCCCATCCGAAGATCGGATCCATGTTTTTCTTTAACCAATTGGCACACTTTGAATCAGAGGGATAGCCGCTTCCCCAACTCTGTGGCACCACGGCCTCCGATGAATCTTCCACATGCACGTTTTCATATATAGCCTGATGACAGAGATCCAATGCGACGTCTCTGGTGACTTTGGCAGCAACACTTGCAGCACTCACGCACGGATATAACGAGTCGGCCTTCTTCGCCACGGTGATTCTGAGTGATGGGAATATCTTTTCGAGTTTCTGTTGGTAGGTTGCGGGGTTTCCAATCGTATCGATGTAGACCTCTCGAACATCCATGTTGCGATCCTCAATGATCCCACGGATGAGTTCAATTGTAGCATCCATTGCCTGCGCATTCAGGTTGTAAGCTCCCGTTCCAGGCCGCATCATACCGGACGAGATGTCACGCGCTGATAGTAGCTTCACGGCCCATCCGCAGGATTCGTATAAGGGATTACCCGGGGTGCATAGTAGCTTCATGAGATTAGCGCGCACGCCGGGCGTAAGAACTTTGCTGTCGTTGAAGCTGTAATCACGAGTCAAGAGGGAATGGTGCAGATCTTGGGGCAAGTAGAAGGCGCTGTAGACCATGGGGCCTAAAACTGGACCGCGTCCGGCCTCGTCTACGCCCAAGACAAGGTGATTTGGTGAAGAGCTCGTTGTAGCAGCTTCAGTGCCTTTGGAGGTTGCAATGACAGGAGGACAGGGTGAATAGTAAGAATAGGACTCCCCAGCGAAGAGCCGAGAGTGATCTATACTTGGAGGGATGAAGAGGCCTGTTGCAGTAACGGGAGACTCCCCCTTTGGAGGGCCAGTGGAGTTGTCTGCTGAATCGCCCATAATTGCGTTGGTTCCAGGCGGAACTTTGCGATCACGACAAGCGAGCGAAAGGGCAAAAAGGTGTAGTCGGGGGGTGCAAGTGAGATGAATGTTGAAAGTGAAAGATGGACGCGTCCCAAACGGTTCCGGACTAGCGGCGCTTCCGCGCGTGTTTGTTCGCCGCCCTCACGGATTCCAACTCCCCTCCGCAGCATTCATTCGCCATCCCCAAGACCTGGGATTTTCTTTCCCCTCTCCGCTAAATTGCAACTACTGTGATCTCCTACAGTCGCCTACTTACGTTTTACACGGCAGGTTTCCCGCGCATCCTGCCCGGTCCGTACGCGTCTCACCACCACTGAACCCCTCTCGTTGCCTCTCTCAAAGCTGCCGCATACAGCTCCCGAATCTCCGGAACAATGGCTCCCCGGGGCCCTGCGAAGGCTCGCGAGTTCGATTATGCCAATGTTGGCAAAGCTGGAAGGTCGGTATCATCGATGCCATTTCTCATTGATCGCCCCTGTTCAGTATTTGTTCTATCCCCTGCTCCCGTTCAAGTCGCTTCCACCTATTAGAATTTCGGGAGGCTGATGCAGGTGACTGCCACAGGCGCACGGGGTTAATGTTGAAGGAAGGGAAACGTGATGAATATGGAATGGAAGAAGTTGACGGGATATTCTCTTCGCCCGAGACGTCGCCCGTAAAAGAGAATGGCTTCAGTGACCGAGCTGAGGATTCTACCGGCTCGGATGGCATGTCTATCGACGAAGGTGCGTTTCACAGCTCGTCATCATTGTAGCTGAATACTAACGATGGTAATTATTTGGCAGGGAATGGTCCGCACCCCACCGATTTCCTAAAGAGCAGACGGAGCTCTTACTTCCCGCCTCCTGTTGCGCGCTCTCCGATGAAGACCGGGCTGACTGGCTCACCTCGGAGGACTCCCGGCTTGCGATCCTCCCAAAGTCCGCAACGCGAACAGCCGTCTTCCAGTCCCTCAGACGGTAAAGGCCTGGGGAGTGCCAGGGGGGAATCACGACGAGATGTATCTCCACTTACTAGTCGTTCCATAAATGCGCCACCGGTTCTAAACCAAGTCAATGGTGCACGGAACAACAAACTTAACGATGAACCAACAGAGGAGCCTATGGACTCCGGCTTTTCCGATAGCGATACCGAGAATCAGCTAAACAGAGACGAGAACGGGCATTCATTTGCACAGACACACGACGACTTTATGGACAGCTTCAATGCAGGCGATGATGCCTTGACGGACGACCATGCAGATGAACAAGATGACACTGGCGCCGACCTGGACTCGCCGGTAACCGTGTCTGAATCCCGCAGCAAGAGAGGGCAAGCCAAACCCGTTCCAAGGGTTGTGAGAGGTGTGAAAGGTGCAAGGGCCGGGGCATCCACGGCTACGCAGGAGCATGAGATTGAGGAAGAACAGCCGGCACAAAAGCGCAAACGTCCTGGGAGGCCGCCGCGAACGCAACGCAAGACTAGCGATGAAGTGGAGAAAGAACGGCCGTCGAAAAAGCCCAGGGTATCGGACAAAGCTGATAAAAACCCAAGTCCTTCAGGCAATGCAGAGCTGGACAAGGTAGTGGAGAACTATGTCAACCGCACAGGGCCTTTGAAGGGCCGGAGTCTCTATATCCTGAAGCGCGAAGTACCTTCCGAAGGCGCTGCCACCCATACACGATCCGGGCGTGTTTCTGTCAGACCTCTTGCATACTGGCGAAATGAACGATGCGTCTATGGCGATGGTGAAGCTGTGGAGGGCCAGCGGTATCCGCTATCGACCATCAAGGAGATCATTCGCACGGAAGAACTCGAGCCAGAGAAACCGAAATCGAACAAGCGCCGCCCTAATAAGAAATCCAAATCAAGGAAGGGTAAAAATGATGATTCCTCGGATGAAGAAGACGGGTATGTTGATCCCTGGGAGAAGGAAAGTGGGATCTTGCATGGCTATATCAGGAGGTGGGACGAGGAAGCCCAGGCAGTTGGTGAAGAAGAGGAGATCGTTGGTATGTACTCTCCTTTAACTAAGGTTGCCGTGCTAACGTAGTCGCTCGTAGACCTTGCGTACGCCCCTGCTGGGATGGAGACAAGGAGTGTCAAGGACTCCTCGTGGCGGTTTGCCAAGCTTCTCAGTTCGCCTTTCTTGGGCTCTGGAATTGTTGAACTGCCGCCTGGAGGGGTAAAGAAGCCCAAGAATTCTAAGAAGATGCACATGGTTTTCTACATCTGCCAGGGTCGGGTGCAAGTAGACATCTCCGGTGTACGATTTAGTGCGGGCAAAGGGTGCGTCTTCCAGGTACCAAGAGGTGAGTGAGTTCCGTATACAACTTTCCTTGACAATATGGGAGACTTGGCCCCGTACCGATGGAAATCCTAATCGAGTTTGCAGGCAACTATTACAGTTTTGCCAATACGCAGAATAAAGATGCCCGACTGTTCTTTACTCAAGGCTGCGTCCCGGTGGAGAACGACGACTCTGCCCCCGGGTCGGCGACCAAACCCGGTGCCATGGACGGGGACTCAAGCACACCGACTGGCCGTCCGACCGGCGTAAAAGGTCGACCGAAGGGCAAACAGAAAGCAGGCGGACGTAAGGCAACGTGATCATGTTTGAAACGTTGTGTCCGGGTTCGCTCTATACGTCTCCTATCATTTTGAAACACTCACCATCTATATCCTGCCCAGCACCGGGCTTTGACCTCTGGATTAGCGCTAGTTACGTGAAATTGTTGGGATGGAAGTCTGCTCACGTCACCAAGGCTTCGTCCCCCATTCTTTTCTTCTCCTGTGTTCTTTTCTTCTCTTCTCCCTTTTCTTTTGCAGACAGTGGGTTATCAATGAACAAGGGGACATGAGCTGTAGATTTATCGGAGTAACTTGAGGGAGATTAGGAGTACATTGTAGCAGGCTTTGCTTTATTTTGTGTTGATTCGTGTGTTCATACTTGACGCTTTGGAAGAAAGTATCAAATTTCCTCCATTATTTCATCATCCAAGTCATCCAAATCCAACGGCGGGAAGTCTCCTACCTCGACTTTCTCAGGCTTCACGAAAACACCAGTCTTATTCGGGCAGGTGAAGAACCTTTGGCCGCCTACGCTGCCATCGTTCTTCCCCAACGGCTCATCAAGCTCAATTCCCACCCAGAGAGGGAGAGCCTCGGGATCTAACTGCACCTTCTTGGGGTCCACGCCCGGGAAAGGGATCGTAGGCACTGGGCCAACAAATCGAATCGTTCCTCGTCGGATATGAGGCGGGGACGAGGGCAAGACGATAGCACGTTTATCAACAGCAATACCTACATAAGTAAAATCATCAGAATTTTTTTCTGCGTCAAGCCCCAGGACTGGTCCTTTCCTGAGTGGAAAGTTCGCGAAGCCAACTCCCCGACCAGGGTAACAAGATCGGGGACATCTTGTAACTCACCTCTCTGTTGAATCTCAGCAGCATCTTTCTCTGACTGCTGACGGATCGACTCTTCCGGAGTTAGAGCATTTGGATCGAACCGGCCAAGTTTTTGGTTCTTCTTCCATGCTAGAACAGAGTTCGAGAGTGATTCGTAGGTGGATGTAGGAAGGACGTATTTCTCGACGGATGATAGGTCGGTGAAATTTGGCCGGGCTGCTTGAGGACGAGTGTCGTGGACCTAGGTTGAGACATGAGTATATGCTCATAATATAAACTGGAAATCCCCTGGTTGAGACGTGTTCCAAAGATGAATGAAAGGAAAACCAAGGTCTTCAATGAAGCAATACATGGATTCGTTGAGCGGGTAATAATCGAAATTGATCATTGACCAGGATCTATTTATCCCAGAGGCTGGGGAGTTTCGAGAATTCCGGTAATTGTGATGGACAGAAGAATAAGACCTACCTCAATCTCACAGCCCTTCATCAACCCCCAGTCCCCAATGATGGAGTCGTCGCCTTCAACCCATTGGTCAGGACGACCCGGGGACTTGAGAAGCAGCCGCTGGCTACCGGGAGGTACGCCTGTCATAGTCTCCAGCTTGCCCTTAAGCTGCGAGACACTCCAAGTGGGAGTGATACGACGCTCTGTTAGCAAGCGTGGCTCGGTACTGGAACTTGCCATGGGCGTGGTGATGGCGACAGAAATGTCCGCCGGAGTAGGTTGAAAAGCCATGGTTTTGGAGCAAGCCTGAAGCTATTCAAAGTGCTTGAACAGAAATAATGTGGCAGCTGGCTGCTTCTGGAGCTCAACGACCTACAGCGTTGTGTCTGTCCGTGTTTGCAGTCCAGCAGGGAGGGGCTTAGTTCTTTCTATGTTCACGAATTAGATAGAGTAGTGCCAAGAGAAATGTTCAGAAGACGAAAGAGGTTGACATGAACAGACTTGATTTCTCAGTGAAATTGCAATTAATATTCAGGCTCCGGCTATTCATCCTTCATATAAATCAAGCTGCCCCGCGAGGGGTTTCCACTATAGGAGAATGTACAGAATTGGGAGGGACCACAGGTGCGTTCTTGAATAGCTTACAAGGTCTGAAAGGGGAAATTATGATACTGACCAGATCAGGATGCCTTCCCAGATGGAGGAAAGCTAGAACTAAGCTCGGAGCAGTGGCTGGTGATGTCAACACCGGAATTGACAAGCAGGGGAATTGCTGCTACTAGTCTCAATGTTCCTGATAAATCGTGGGGATTGTTTGCTTGCTTTGATGCCAAACCGCCAATGAGCACGTGGTGTACGGTAACTAACTTGATGATTAATATTACATACAGTGAGCTCCCAGCTAGTAGTATTACAGATACCATACAGCATACACAGTGCGAGATGACGTCTTTGTGTGTAGAAGGAGAATTTCGGCCCCTCCTCCCAAACATCCAAATTTGTTTCGTTTCTTTGCACGTTTTCAGCTGCAATCATTCAATCTACCTCTACATCGCACTGCAGCTCAAAGATCTTTTGAGTTGCTTTCACGGCTACAGCGGGGTGCAATAATCCTTAGAGAACGATCTCCAAACTCTCGTAGAAACAACAGTTTAATTTCTATCGTGGGAGGGGTATCTGCAGGATCAGTGTTCAGTGTGGGAAACCAAGAGGGAAAAACACCAACAAAAAGATGGCTGCCCCGAATGTTCCAGCCCTAGCAAACATCCCCTCGGCTGATCAGGAATCGTATGAAGAGAAGAATGTCCATGAAGTGTACCAACAAATAGCCAGTCATTTTTCCTCCACTCGTTACAAGGTACTACCGCTTCTTTTTCCTGCCGAATCCAACCCTCCTCGATATTTCAATTGCGACCTCGGGATTTTTTGTTAACCCTTCGACAGCCTTGGCCCATTGTGGAACAGTTTCTCAGAGGTTTAGAGCCCGGTTCCGTTGGTTTGGATGTGGGATGTGGCAATGGCAAGTATCTGGCTGTGAACCGCGAGGTCTTTATCGTTGCTTCGGATAGGTATGTTTACTTTCCCATGCAGAATATCTCGTCTCGTCTTGGAATATTGGGTTTCAATTTCAGTTTTGTTTCTTTCTATCTACCGTATTTCGTATATGGGTATTCTCATGTCATTCCTGTTCCAAAAGAAAAAAAAGCCTGTTGTACGCAGGCATTTACCTCCCAATGTAGTCAAAAGCTGATCATTCCATGTCAGATCCGCAAATTTGGCCCAAATTGCGCAAAAGCATCAGCCACACTCAACCATCATAGCCGATATTCTCCATCTCCCACATCCAGATTCCTTTTTCGACTTCGCCATCTCGATTGCTGTCATCCACCACCTGTCCACTCCTGAACGAAGGGTCCAAGCTATTCGCGAGATCCTGCGCACGCTGAAACCTGCCACGGAAGATTCTTCGGGTGGGAGAGCGCTGATCTATGCTTGGGCCCTGGAACAGAAAAGCAGTCGTAGAGGTTGGGACAAAGGTGATCCGCAAGATATAATGGTTCCTTGGGTCATGAAGGGAGCCCCTTCTGCGGACGCTCCTTCCAACGAGCCCAAGGTGTTCCATCGGTATTACCACCTTTACAAGGAGTCGGAACTCGAGCAGGATATCAACAAGGCGGGAGGTCATGTCCTGGAATCAGGATATGAGAAAGACAACTGGTGGGCGATCGCAACACGGACAAACCCAGGATCACCATGAGATACATAAATGCAGTGGGATCATCGAGATCCAGCCTCGAAGCCCGTCTCCCACATCTGCATAGCACTCACGACAGGAATGACGATACGAGCATTGGACTCGTCAAATTGAGGCCTCCTCTCGAAGGTGCCTTTTCATGTGTAGCAAGATCAAAGCCAGATGAGGATAATGAAAAACGCGCACACACGCACTCGGAAGAGCTCTTATATGAAAAGCCCTCCCATGAGTGAAGAAGATATACCTCCAACCAGCGCTATGCAATTCGTAATAACGCAAAACACACAGGCATAGACATCGTTTTCTCCATACCCTCTACGGGAGGGTTCGAGGGGGCAGACCGAGGTTGGGTCCCAAATGACCACTGTGACCACCCAGGTCCAAAGGTCGCCCCAATCTATAGGGTTCGCGAGGAGCCGGAAAAGTTGGGTGCGGTGCAAATGCAGGAACTCCAGCGGTAAGTTCTTCTACCGAAGGAAGTTGTGGCGGCGGAGGGATTGGACGAGATGTCGATCCTTTTCTAGGTCGAGATAGAGACGTGCTGGCTCTGCGAGCTCGGGGCGCTGGTGGATCTATGGCGGTACTTGATAATGAGAAGGGGACTACTCCCGCTCGACGCGCCATTTCCTGTTCCCCCAGTTGCCAGTGCATGGCTTCTGCAGCCCTCCACGGAATGGCCATCTCCTCTGCTACCTTTGACCACATCTCTGCTTTGAATCTGCAATGACAATCAACAACCGTTTATATTAATCTCGAGGCACCGCCTCACTGTCGCATTAAAACATACCTTTCGTATAACCTCGCAAGTTTGTTCTTCTTGTCCTCATCCCACTCACTTCTGCGTTCCAAATAATTTTGATAGTGTAGACGGCAACTGATGGCACTTCGGCCAGGAAGCCGCTTGCTGATATCCTCCCATTTCATGCCACTCCCTCGTAGCTCAATGATCAAGGCATCCTCCTCCGGGGACCACTTGGATTGCTTTTTAGCCGGCGACTCTGCTGTGTGGGCAGGTTGAAGGCGCTTGGCAGGCACCGTAGCCGGGATCTTGGACGTAAGCTGGGGCACTGGAGGGACCGAGGACAACGACGCTGGGGCAGCTACTGGCAACGTCGGTGCCACCGAGGGTGGCGGGATTGCGCTGGGTGGGTAGCTAGGCGCTGTAGTCACCGAGGCGGCTTCCTCTTCATCCTGAGGCTTCAGCAGCAGTGAGATATCCACTTTGGCGGGAGGAGGCAAGATAGCGTGATTTTGTAACGCAATCATATGCGCGGTTCGCAGCGGAAAATTCCTTTTCTCAAGTAAAGATATGTGTAGCAGAGAGCACCATATGCCAAGATGTATAGAAAAATGAATAGCTCAGAAGCCCAACCCGACTAGATGCAGAGGTGAAACGAACTGGGGGAGGGAAGAAGTTGTAGGATAACGAGAAGATGAAAGAGATCAAGAATATCAACCGAAAAGAGGAGAGATATAACCTGAGTTACCAAAAACGTCCCAACCAGTGAGATGAATTAGTACCCTTGTTGGATCTTCTTCTGTTTCCCGGGAAAAAAAACTCCACTAGTTAGTGGCGAGTGTATTGGTGGCACTGCGGCAGTGTCGATAGGGTAAAATAAGAGAGACCGCCAATTAAACTCCGAGACTGTTAGAGTGGGTGTCCGAGGAGGAAATGGATGGGAAGCAAAGCGATAATGCAGACAAGAGTATTCGTCTGGCGACTGTCTCATATAATGACGGGCCCTTCAGGTCGGAGAGAAAGTTGATATGTCCGATAGGTGTCGAGGCGATGGCGTCAAGCTAGAGTCGAGCGAGATATAGTAGGGATCAAAATATAGTAATGTCTGAAGAGTAAAGAATACTTCTGGGGCTGAAGAATGTACTAGAGGTAGCAGTGGGCACCAGTTAAGTATAAGCAAGAGTCAAACAGAGTGGGATAGTCAACGAGGGTAAATGGAGGAAGAAGAAGAGGTAAAGAAGTAGAAGACGGGAAGGAAAAGAGAGTCAGGGAAAGGGAGAAAGGGCCAGACAAGACAGATGAAACGTCTGGAGATGCATAAGAAGAGAGATCATCGGGGACCGTTGACAGCTGGTTGGCGCAGCAAATAAGAAGCTCAGCAGTAATAATGCTGCTATGGGGAGGGAAAAGGAAGCTAACGAAGAGGCGAGGCCAGGGCCAGTGGGTTCGAGAAACCGTTTAATAAATAAACATTATTACTAGAGATCATTAGTTAGCGGTCGTTATTATTTTTGATTATTTTTATTTTATTTAATTTTATTCTGTTTTCTTTTTTCTTTCTTTTTTTTTTTTTTTTTTTCCATCCCGAGCATCGGGCACTCGCGTGGAAACCTT